CGGAGCAGCAGCTGTTAGCCGGCACCCAGCTCTGAAGGCAGTGCCCCGCCAGCAGCAGCGCAGAAGTAAGGATGGCAATACCATGCCATGCCATCCTTACTTCTGTGTTGCTGCTGGTGGCAGGTCTGCCTTCAGAGCTGCGCTCCCGGCCAGCAGCCACTGCCGCTCTCCAGATGCCCAGCTCTGAAGGCAGTGCCACCATCACCAGCAGAGCAGAAGTAAGGGTAGCAGTACTGCAAACCCGCCCCCGCCATAACCTTGGGACCCCCTCACAACTCCTTTATGGGTCAAGACCCCTAAAATTACAACACTATGAAATTTCAGATTTAAATAGCTGAAATCATGAAATTTACGATTTTTAAAATCCTATGACCATGAAATTGACCAAAATGGACCATGAATTTGGTAGGGCCCTAACCATTAGGCTCTAAGCACATTTAACCAAACAGCAAGTTAGAAATTCCCATAACACAGATATAGCTAAAACAGACTGTGTATACATGTAGACTGTGTATACACTGTAGACTGTGTATATACTGTAGACTGTGTATACATGACATTTGTTGCATACTTTATATAAATTATTTATACCCTGGTAGCACCCAATCTTCGGCACTTTCAAGACAGACAGACACCCCCACATTCTAAATCTTGCTTTGACGATCTGTGTGATTACTGAACAAGCAAATGTTTCTTGGCAGCATCAATTACCTGGGACTAAATTTCCAAAGGCGACTAGTGATTTTTTGGGTGCCCAACTTGAGACAATTTAAAGGGGGCCTGATTTTTAGAAGGTGCTGGCATGCCACCTTTGGAAATTTAAGCCCAAGTTTTTTGCTGTTTTAAATCACAATTTATAAAATCTGCTACACATTTATCTCCATACTCTTAAATTTTACAAAACCATTTGATAAAATCATACTATACAGTAAGTCTTTAGGATGTTATATTTAAAGATGGACCCCGAGTTGGATCTAGAGCTGATTTTTTCCAAAATGTGATGAACTATGAATCTGGATTTAACCACCAAGCCCATCTTTCAGGTATATTGTACTATGTTGTTTTGTAAACAAACCGAGGATGGTTATCAAAAATGTGTATCAATCATTCGTTCCATACAGCGTTTGATTTGAGTCAATGCCGTCATGAAATCTTTGTTTGTTTAAGAACATGAACAAATAGCAACAGTATTTAGGACTGAGGTTTCCCACCCCCACACACATCATAACCAGTAATGGGAGAAGATCACTTATTTGGTGCAAAGTCACCCCCAAAATTTTAAGTTAAAAATGAGAAGGCATTACCAGGGGCACATCCACCAGCTGAGTGGAAAGTTATGTGAACTGTCAATTGTAATTTTTAAGAGAATGGTAGCTCATCAGTGAAGAGTAGCAGATGGAAAAATCTCCTTAATGGGTAAGTGTCAGAACATTTGGAAGTGATTATAAGAGATTTGTTTTCAAGGGCAGCAAGCTGATTGAAGTTTGTGTCAGGCATTGCAAGATGTTCTGTGAACATCACTGCACAAGACAAGAGATGCCCCAAGCCCACAATTAGAACGTAGTGCAGGACAGAAATTAGTGGCTGACTGTGGCCTTGTCATGTTCTAAGAGTAAGTGGCTAAAGCAGGAGGCCTTTGGGCTCTCATAGGGGCATGAAGGAAACTGAAGGGAAGAGGGGGATGAAGAAGTACCTGTTTCCCAGCACCAATCACATAAACTCCTCCCAGGATGAAACCTTCTCCTTCCAGGTTACCACTGTATCCATTCTTCCAAGCGCGAAGGAAGTTCTGCCAAACTCCTAAGCGGATAAGACCCATCGACAGCATTTTTCGCTTGTGAGGACCATAGAACTTTTTCTGTAGGACGACAGAAAGAAAACTCAAACAAGAAACAACAGTGACAGAGGAGACTTTCCTAAGTGTAATCAAGGCAATCAGCTAGCCTCTGCATCCAGAACAGTTTCTAACAAGTAATATTTGGGTATACAGAACTGAATGATGCCTTTAGTAATCTTATCAGGACAGAAGTTCCTTTAAAACATTAAGAGGTCATCTACTTTCCACACCATCAGCAACATCCAGTTGTTTTTGTCACTGCTGCCATTCCAGATTTATGGAGCTGATCAACCTACTACATTCACTTCCTGGACATCTTGACTGCTGACATCAGCAGCGTGTTTTTGAATTAACAGATTTGTTTTGAACTACTTGGCAGGACTCCCTCTAGAATAGGCTGTCTTTTTTCATGTGCTGGAAAAAAGGGACGGGTTGCCACCGCTCACCATTTTATTACCAGTCTCATGATATTGTTTTTCCTAAAGTCCCTGCTTTTGGAATCTTGCAATTGAGAGACCCTGAGCTTTCACTCAAGGAGGCTGTTCCTAGACCTCAGTGTTGGAGAGATATGTTGGGAAACATGACCCAGAAAGATCCAAAAACAACAGAAGGCAAATAAAAGAACCATATATCATGATTTCTAAACCTCAAGATTTTGAGGGTGTGACGCATGATTTCTGAATTGTGTTTGGCAACAGCATAAATTTTTAGTAAACATAGCAACAAGCAATTATATTACCATTTGCGCTGCAACATGAACTTATCACACCCTTCTATTTTATTGTTTTTAATACCAGGATAATTATCAGACAGTGCATCCCAGTGCAAGAAAAGAGAAAAATAGTTGGCATGATCTTACTGTTTGCTTAGGTGTGTGTGTGTGTGTGGGGGAAAATCATGCAAGAACATGTCAACAGTACACAGCAGAAAGACAGCTAAGCTTGTAAACTGAGCAAATTTATATATAGAAAATCTAAGCTGATTAACTTCTTAAGCTACAAAAGGCTATTAAATCAATTTCCAGATACCTAAGTTTCATTCAGGCCACACTATGCAGATTGCTTGAAAAGGCTTGGTGGATACAAATGCTGACTCAAGAAAGCTTAAAACAAACAGAGCAATACAAACATACCTTTTCATCCAGAAATATTTCCCCTTTGAAATAATGCTGAAAATCCTCCACTTCAGTCCCAATTTTTTCTTTCACTACAGCATAGAGGGGGACGCCAAGTTGGTCGAGCTGAGGTTTGAGAGAGGAAAGCTCAGAAGCCTCCTAGAAGACAATGAGTGTGATGCCAGGTTTAACTACTGGATGGAAGCCTGCAAGACTCAACATTTGGCATGTAACCACTTAGGTGGATGGTGGCTAGAAGTGCAAAGTGGATGCAATGAAGTGTAATAAACAGGGCATATGAGTGAGTTCTAGTCCTAAGCCTTCTATTGGCACAGAGACATCTTCACCAGAGATGAAGGTGTGATTGCAGTGCGGGCGGGTATATGCATACTAACTTTAATCTAGATGGTGCAGCTAACAGTGGGTATGTATTCAGGTTACTGGCCTGTGCAAAGATCCATGCTACTGCATATTCACTGCTATTGTTACCCATGCTAGGTAGATTAAAGCTAGTGTAGGTATGCCTACCTCTCTGCAATCACTCCTTCATTCACAGTACCCTTACTAGGGCTGACTTCACTAGCAGAGGGGGATAGTTTTAAGCATGTATTTGCAAAAATCCTAGCAAAGGCTAAAGCAAAAGTCTTAATTAATACTGTAACTTGCCTTGTCCATGCTAGGATTTTAGCATTTATTAAACACACATTCTTTCCTAGTGAAGATATGGCCACTGTGTGCAAGTCACTTAGCCTCTCTGTGCCTCAGTTTCTCCACCTGCAAAATGGTGAATAGGCATGTGTGATGGGTTGGATCACAGAAACCCCCTTGGGAGCTGCCCCCCCGATGTGCAAAGACTACCCCTGCCTCTGTTTTCCCTGCCAGCTCAGGACTCCAGCACCCTGTCTTGCTGAGCCAGACACTCCAGTCTGCTGCAACACTGACCCAGGGTCTGAATCACTTGTCCCAAAGCTGCAAGTTTACCTGAAAACAGCTCACAGGAGTGTGCTTGTCTTTAGCACTCAGATGCCCAACTCCCAATGGGGTCTAAACCC